TGGGGAGACAATACTGAGCGTTCTCCTTCCTGACAACCAGGCCTTGTGAGGAGCTTCAGATTCTAGAAACGAAGGTATGTGATCAGCCAGGGGAAGATGAAGGTACCATGTCCTGGAAGAAGAGGGAAAGAACGGAAGGAGAGAAGATTTCCGGAAAGATACAGAGCATGACAGGGAACTTGTGCCCCCCGCCACTATTTTGCTCAAGATTCTTTCAGAATTCAGAGGTCTCATATCAACTTAGCTAGAACATCACATAAATGGCACGGGCACATGACCACCTCCTCTGGACGGATGAATGCAATCTTCTTGTGCCTCTCTCTGGGCTGGCTGCGCTCCATGCCCTCCTAAGAGAAGCTTATTAATAAGATGGCATCCGTTGTACTCCACTGAGTTTATTTTATCACAAACTCATGGAGGAAAAGGAAAAAAATACACTGCAACTTACCACAATAAAGTAAATATCGTAAGATAAATGGCAGTGTTGGAATGGAAACCACTTAGGGACTCAGAACAGTCAGACGCAAACAGTTTCAAGACTATTAGCTGTTAAAGGTTGTGCCTTATGTCACCCAAAAGGGGCTTTCCTCAGATTTATAGCACGATCTCTTGGGAGATTTATTGCCGACTACATCCTTCTCCCACCCCACCCCCCATTTTAACTTTATGAACAGTCAGCCTGGAAGTTTTTCTAGGTCATGTAGGAATGGGGAGTTGCTGTTTTCCAAGCAACTCCTTGTGGGCCATTTTCTGCAATTTGAATACTTTATTATGAATCAGATTATGACCAAATCATCTTCTATTGGCCTCTCCAATATACTTCTCTGTGCTTTTCCACCCTGATCCCAGTCGCAGGAAGCTGGTCTGTAAGGACCACAGAATGAGCTCTCTTGCCCTTGACTTCCAGTGGAAGTCCAGGGAGAACTGACCCAGAGTGCTGGAAGGTAGGAGAGGGGCTTGGGGCCTTTGCCTTTCCAGATGGCTCCAGTTTGCTCTGACAGGCAAAGTCAGTGGCTGGCAAGCAGCCCTCTCCACGCAGCTCTGCTCCAGTCCAGAACCACACCTGCCAGTCATCGATTGTGTCATTTGTTCACAAATACTCATTTTCTCTCTCAAGGCAGAGTACAACGCCCACCCCACTGATTTTGAATTAGGCCACTGGACTTAGGATGGTCCATGGGATGGGAGCAGTGGTGACTTTCATCTCCATGGAACAAAGTTTTAAATGCATTCTTGCATGGTCTGGCTCCGTCCCTCTCACTACTGCCCTCCATTGTGAGAAGAGCATGTCCCAACGACAGACCACCATCAACTGGCTTCTCAAATGAGAAGACACAGAGGAGCCCACCAAGCCACCCAGGGGCTGCAGAGTCAGCAGAACCACAGCCACTTCTGCCTCTTGGAAGGTGCACCGGAAATGAATGTCACCACGAGCCACTGAGATGTTGAAGTGGTCAGTAATCACAGCAAAGTCCACCAATCCACTCTCACTGCTCCTTCAAACCTAAGGATATTACTGTCTGCTCATCCCTTGAGGTCTCTCCACACCCTTCCCGAACCTTTGTAAATGATTGCATATTCTAAACTCCTAAGTTTAGAATACGCCACAAAAAGGTTTGGTAGAGAGCCATGTTAACCAAACTCTAACAATAAACTCTAATGATTAGGAAAGAAACAAGGGAGGGGGAAGAAAGGAGGAGAGGGAAGAAAGGAGCCACCATTTGGAACCATCATTTGACCCAGTTATCCCATCCCTTGGTTTATACCCAAAGGACTTAAAATCAGCATACTACAGTGACACAGCCACATCAATGTTTATAGCATTGAGCTGTTTATAGCAGCTCAATTCACAATAGCTAAGCTATGGAACCAACCTAGGTGCCCTTCAACAGATGAATGGATAAAGAAAATGTGGTATATACACACAATGAAATATTACTCAGCCATAAAGAAGAATGGAATTATGGCATTTGCCAGTAAACAGATGGAACTGGAGACTATTGTGCTAAGTGAAATAAGCCAATTCCAAAAAAAAAAAAAAACAAAGGCTGAATGAATGTTCTCTCTGATATGCAGATGCTAACACACAATAAGATGGGGTGGTGGAGAATAGATGTTCATTGGATTAGACAAAGGGGAATGAAGAGAAGGGGGGAAGGGAACAGGAAAGACAGTAGAATGAATTGGACATAACTTTCCTACATTCATATATGAATACATGACCAGTGTAACTCTTCATCATGTACAACCACAAGAATGGGACGTTATACTCCATGTATGTAAATGTCAAAATACATTCTACTGTCATGTGTAACTAAAAAGAACAAATGAAAAAAATTTTTTAAAAAGAATTTCTGTGGAGCTGGAATCATCCTCTGAAGGGAAAATCAGGTGCATTGATGAAGGGCTAGCATACAAGTTCCCAATGCTTCTTGGGCTTTGCCTCTGTTTCAAGGTTGTCCTCCCAGAAGTGACAGCTTATGAGGGCTCTGCTTTGAACGGATTTTTTACCCCGGCACCTAGTGTCCTTTCAAAAGGCTGACATGGAGGGTTAGCTCTGGAAGGGCAGGCAACTGGGCTGCAATTCAATTCTAACAAGCCCTTTTGGAGGAAGTCACACTCAATCCACTCTGCAGCCTCACCTGTCACCACCTGCTGAAATGATGGGCACGCTCTCAGGCCGCCAGTCCATAATGTCGTGATCCCACCATCCTGCCCATATAAGCCTCTCTCCTTTGATCTCACTTCCTTTTCCTGAAAGGTCTTTCACTCACCCAGGCATCTGCAAACTTCTTCTCTCAAGTGCTACTCAGACTGCTCCCTTGAGGGCCAGGGTAAGCCAGGGTGAATGTTGGTTGAGGGCAAGGACTCCACTGATCTGGCTGTCTTGAACCCCAGCTCTAGGATGACCAGCTGTGTGACCATCAGCAAGTTACTTAACTTCTCTTTACTTCAATGTTCTCATCTAACTTCTCATTTTACATATTAGTGAGTAAGTGAAAGACTGTGAAAATCCTCCAGGTCAAATAAGGTAATATCCAGCCCCTTCCTTATAAGGTTGTAAAAACTAAATGGGTTACCATATATAAATTGCTAAGAACACTGCGGGACACCTAGGGAAAGCCATTGAGCCTGGCATGGTGGCACACACCTGTAATCCCAGCTACTCTGGAGGCTGAGGCAGGAGGATTGCAAGTTCAAGGGCAATCTTCTAAATTTAGTGAGACCCTCAACAATTTAGTGAGACCCTGTCTAAAAATAAATAAATAAGGGCTGGAAATGTAGCTCACTGGTAGAGCACCCCTATATTGAATTCCCAGTGCTATAAAACATTGAAATCAGTGCCATTATTTACGGATAACTTTAGCTCCTGACAAGGTGTGCTAATTAGTTCTGTCTTGCCAGTTGGATGTGAAAGAAGTCCCTCAGATAGAGATTGCATATGTTTTTTTCTTTTGTGGTGCTGGACTAGATCTCAGGGCCTCATGCATTCTAAGCAAGCACTCTACCACTGAGTGACAGCCCCAGATCATAAAATCCCTCTCAGATTTTTTTGTTTATTTGTTTTGTTTTGTTTTTTGTTTGTTTGTTTTGTTTCATTATGTTTTGTTTGCAATGAAGCCTCATGTTGTTGCGCAGGCTGGTCTTGAATTCTGGTTTCAAGGGATCCTTGGGCCTCAGCCTCCTGAGTGCAGAACTACAGGCATGCCATCACACCTGGCTCCCCTGTGTCTTATTCACTTTTATATCCCCAGTGCCTAGCCCAGCATGTAGCAGGTTCTCAGGAAATGGCTCATCTTTGCTGGGTGTCTTGTGCCCAATTCAACCTTTTTTTGTTCCCCATTCTGGACCTGGTCTAGTTCACCAGGCTTTGAGGGACACAGGGAACATGTCTGGCTCCTGTGGGATATGAGAGACCTTACTGATCATGACAGCTGTTCCACCCAGGTGTAGACTCCTTTTTTCTAGAAAAACCACCACCCTGCTACTTCAGCTACTCTTGGGTGGATGTGTTTCCAATTTCTCAACAAAGGCTGATGGGGGCCAGGAGGGAGCGAGCAGCTCCTTCTCAGCGCCAGGTCATCGTTGCCACAGGAATTCTTGGTCTGATATTGTCCTAGCTCTTGATTTTTTCAAGAGATGATAAATGCTTATGGCATGTCTAAATATTTGTGACAATGTCAAAAAGTTTAAAAACTATATGTCAAAATACACTCTATTGTCATGTATATCTAAAAAAACCAAATAATTAAAAAAAATTTAAGTCTAAAAACATTTTGCAGATCAAATGAACACATCGACACTAACTAGCATGAGTTAGTATCCTGTGGTTTAGTAGAAGTGGGTACCAACTCATGCCGCTGGACACATAGCACCTAATGCCCGGCAGGGGACCCTTTGTTAGGTTCACTAGTAAGAGGCTAGTTTGGAAGGCAGCTTGGTTCCATGCTTTGGGCCCTCATCCTGTCCTATGGCACACAGTCCCCTCCCTCAGCAAGTCCCATTCATTTCATTCAACCTTGTTCACAGCCTCATTTTTCTCCCACTCATTGGTTTGACAAGTATTTACATATTAAATAACCACAATGTGCCAGATTTTAACCATTGCAGGTATGACCTAAGTGCATACAACAGAGATGATTCCTGCCTTAAAGAACTTGCAACTTTTAATGTTAGGTTTCTCTAACTTCTGATTTTTAAATACTGGTGACTAAATAAAAACGTTTTAAAATCCTCTGTAAATAGATTTTAAAGAAACCTGAAATTGCAAAAATATTTGCTAAAATTTTAATTCATGAAAAAGATGAGAAGGTGAAGAGGTCCCATAGAAAAACCTACTGTAACCACACCTCAGTGCTAGCGACCATAAGATTGTAAAAAGTGGTATAGAAAAGAAAACACAAGGTTCCTTTTATCTAATTCAACATTTTCCATACTTATTCGTCCATAGAAATTTTTTCTTTCTGGAATATCAGTTTTTGATGAATAATAAAATAGAGTGACATTTTAAAATGAGAACATTTATTTAGCTCATGATCCTAAACATCATCAGTTGGGGCTGGGCTCAAGTGGATGGTTCTCATCTCAGCTGAACTCGCTCACAGGTCAGTGGATACCTGCCAGGCGGGCAGGGGTCTGGTGATTCAGGACAGCTTGCGTGGGAATGGTTCACCGCTGGTTCAACGCTAATGATTCTGGAGAAGTTGGGAGAGCACGTGGAAGGGTGCAAAAGCTCTTGAGACACCAACTTGGGCTGGCACAGGTGCTCGTCCTGCTGCATTCTAGTTATCGAAGCAAACCTGAAGCCCAGTCCAGGAAGGAGAAACAGACTCCGCCCCTTGGTCGGAGAACCTGCAAAGTCACATTGCAAAGGACGAGACACAGGAAGGGGTGAGGGATGATGGCCATGCTTGCACTTCAGTGTCCCATGCAACACCTGTGAAAAAGCCTCAGTGTTCTATGAAACACATTTTGGGAAACTTTAGTGTGCTTCTTGTTTTTGAAGCTGGGGATCCAACCCAGGCCCTTGTACATGTGAGACAAGGGCTCTACCACTGAGCTAACCCCCTGACCTCCTCATTTTTGAGTGAATTTTTGATATATAACTAAACTACTTAAGACTAGTAATTTTCAACCACACTCTAGTAACAGCTTAGGTATTCTCCCACCATATCTGTTCCACATAGAAGTTTAACCTGTGCACAAAAAGAACATATAGTCATCAATTCTTTTCCACTTTAGAAAACCTTGGATGCTGGGCACAGTGATGCACACCTTCAATGCACTCAGTGACTCAGGAAGATCACAATTTGGAGGCCAGCCTCAGCAACTTGGTGGGACCCTGTCTCAAAATAAAAAATAAAAGGGCTGAGGATGTAGCTCAGTGGTAAGGGCCCCCTGGGCTCACTCCCAAGTACCAAAAAGCAAAAACAAAAAACTTGGTCTAGCTGACAGTATTTCAAATGAGTAGAAAAGGAAGGAAAGATGAAGCATAAGAAACATAAGGACTGGGATATTATTAAGACTTAAAAAATAAAGAAATTCTGCCATTAGCAATGCCATAGCATAGATGAGACTGGAGGACATTAATTCAAGGGAAACGAGCCAAGCACAGGAAAACAAATAGTATATGATGTCACTCATGTGGGAAAGGAAGGAAGGAAGGGAGGGAAGAAAGAAAGGAGGAGAAAATGGTGTATGAGGTAAAGAATGTTAGTCTGTGATTATTTCCCAACTTGTGTGTATATCAAGATATCAAGTTGTACTGTACTCCTTAAACATGATTTTCATTTGTCAATGCACTTCAATAAAAGTAAAAATAAAAAAATAAACAAACACTTGTTTTCACCTGTGGCTATTTTTTAAAACAATATAAAAATGTTTAATGCAGTTCAGTTTCATTTTTATATCATTTTAAAAATTGTTATATGCAAACTTAGTACACGTTCTAAGAAAATATAATGTATTCAGGAGCTGGGGAAGCAAAGTAATACTTATTAACTGCTAAATATGTGCAATCTCCAGCTACCATCTCCTTTGATCCTCCATAACTATGAGCAGGAGATATCATCGCCCCGATTTTACCAAGGAGGAAGCAAGACCAAAGACCAAGCCCAGGATAGCAGTGCTTCTCCATGGCAGATGGCTGGGAGTCTGTTGCACCAGCCACACACCCACCACAACGAAGGCCATATTGTCTAGGGAAGGGTGAAGCCCCAGTGGTGTGTTCTGCTGTCCACAGTTGACCATATTGATATCCAAAAGCAAGCCTGACCCTCCTTGGGGGAAGATTTACTCCCCTGTCCTGTGGGCAGCCGCTTTGGCTGTACAACTAGATTTTGCCAGAGAAACGTGAACAGAACCCTGTGTGCTTTTACCAAGCTTGAAGAGCCAGCTCAGAACCCGCCATATGCTCTTTTCCGTTCACTCCAAGTGATGCACCATTCCAGGTTGGGACTGACCCATCAGTCTGGAGCCCTGAGTGAAGCCCCCACAGGGGACATGAAGCTGGAGTGCAAGGTAAGACTTTTATATCATTGGTCACTGCACTGGGCCATTGGTCACTGCAGCATGATCTTGCCAATTCAGGGCTCTGAATTCCAGGGGCAGATCCACTGCCCAACGTTTTTATTCTATCTTTTTAAGTGCATGATAAATACTAGAGCAGGCAGTGTCTGTGGTGAGCACAAGTAGAGTTGAATCCTGCCCTTGCTACGTGCCTGTGTTGGTAAAATTGGGAACAATAGTGCCTGGTGCAGACACATTTGAGGTTATGTCTAATGAGCGAAGCAGAGGCCCTCACTCTGCTGCTGGGACTCCACAAACACCCCAACCTTTCTCTCTCTTCTTCCAATTCACACCACCCTTCCCCACTCCCTGGGAGACCTGTCCTTCCCTGGGGACCTGTGCTCAGGCCACCCTGCCTCCCTCTGTTGTTCCTCTCTATCTCCAACATCCAGACCCCCATCTTCCCAAACCCACCTCCCCTGCCCCTGCCCCAGCCTTACTCCAGTCTGACACAAGAGAGCCTCAACCTCTTTCCCTGCATCTGTAACCATCAGTGAAAATGCTGAGCACAGCTGGATTTTGAAAGCCAGTGGTTAATTGCGGGGAGCTGAGGGTGACCCAATGGCACTTTTAAGTATTTGGAGTGTGAAATAATGAAGATGCTGGTGAGCAGAGCAACTGGAAATCAGCAAACAGCCCCCAAAACAGCTTCCAAGGCTCTGAGGAAAGTACTCGTCTCTCCCCAGCTGGTGAGGACTGTGCTCCAGCCGAGCTGGGAAGCAGACAAGAGCCAGAGGCCACCCCAGAGAGATGTACAGCAGGGAGACTATGTCCTCAGACCTGCAGAGGGTTTGATAACTCCCCTGTTACCATGACAGCTGGGCTCACAAAAGATAACAAAGGAAACAAACAGCAAAGTCTTTAATGAAGTGATGAGCTCGAGAGCCTTGGTCTCCTGTTACCCCGACAGTGTCCCTTGGCCCCCATGGCAGGGAGTGAGGGACCCACTAACACCTCTCAGTAAAGGACAGACCTGACCGTGCTATGAGTGGAGAGGGCACCTGACCCGACATGGAGTAACCTCAGCTCCAGCTCAGAGCTCTGAAAATCATGAGAACAGTTAATCCATGCCAACAACCAGCACTTTCTCTGCCCAGCCCACAAATCCAGACAAATTCTCAAACAAATACCTAAGGAGACCACTCTGTGGCCATCTTGTGGTGCCTGGGCTTATCTATGCTGAGAGAAATCTTATGAAAAGTCTTCAGTCAAATGCAATATTTCTTTGAAGTGCTTACTCTGTACCAGCACCAGGAACAAGGCAATAAAAAATCTAGGGCCCCCCCCCCTCATTCAAAGAGTTTATAGTCAAAGGGCAGAAATGCAAACAAGCAATGTTACCAGTGAGGTACACGTAGCGTTCTGGAAGTTGGGGAGGGATGACAGGTGCTCAGTAAATATTTAAATGAATTTGCTGGTTCTGAAAATGATCAATAAATGACATGAACACACCAGACACTTCGCTAGCCCAGGACATTTGCCCTCACCCTTTCTCCGTCTGGAACACTCTTCCCCAGACAGTCTTATATAGATTTCCTGCTGCTGCTGAAACAAATTACCACAGCTTTAGAGGCTTCAAATAACACAGAGGTTACAGTTCTGGAATCCAAAACCTAAACCCGAGGTGTTGGCAAGAACCCGCTTGCCTGCCCTCCTCCTCTCCTAGAGCACCCAGCACCCAGGTTCCTCACACCACTGCAGCTTCTTGCTTTGTGTGTCACCTGTCCCGCTACCTTCTTGCCTCCCTGTGAGGACCTTTGTGATGACAGGCCCACCAGGATAATCTCTCCATCCCAAATCAGTAATCACTTCTACAGAGTTCCTTTTACCACATAATGTCCCAGGTTGGGGGCGGGGTTAGGATATGGATATATTTGAGGGGTCATTATTCATAACGAGGACAACCCTCCTGGCTACTGTTCTTAAATTCTCTGCTTGGACATTTTGTCTCTCTGAGCCTTTCTCAGCCAAGCTAGAATAAATTAGGCATACCAACCATTCCTTTGATACCCTCTACCTTCTTTACCTTGTTTTATTTTTCACCATTTTTTAAAAATCCCCATCAGAAATACAAATACTATGCATTTGCTCATTTATTTATGTATAGTTTCCCCTCTCCATGTGTTGACCCATTACCAAAGCCCAGAACAGGATCTGGCACTTAGTAAGAGCTTAATAAATATTTGTTATTTTAAATAAACAAAATAATTCAATATATAGATGGGATGGCATCAAAGGTGAGAATTCAGCCAGATTTTTATCTGGGCTAATTCTGAAAAAAAAAAGGGGGGGGGTGGCAAGAAAGAAAAAGGGGTAAGGAGAGCTCCAAGAGAAGAAAAGACATGAACAAGACAAGAAGGCCCGTTAGTTCTAGAAACAGAACAAGTCTGGGAAGAGTCTGAGAAGGCGCTGTTGGTTGTCTGACCAGCATCCATTCCCTCATTTCTCTGCTAATAGAAGCCAATTCTGAGCATATGTCCACCATCCCCATATGCACACACCCCATGATTTGACCCCACACTCTATCACGTAGGCACTGACCCTGTGGGCCAAATTTCCTAGGCTCCCATGTCAACCATTCGTTTGGCCCATAGGAATTCTGATGGGAGATGCTAGGAAGTCTTATGAACTGAACTGTGTCCCCCAAATTCTCATGTTGAACCCCTAACCCCCTATGACTGTATTTAGAGATAGGGTCTTTGAAGAGGTACCTAAGTTTAAATGAGGTCATAAGAGTGAGGCCCTGATCTGATAGGACTGGTGTCCTTATTAAAAACAACTAGAGTGCTCTCTCCTTCCCCTTTCTCCTCCCTCTCTCTGAAAATGCACAGAGGAGAGGTCTTGTGAGGATTCAGCCAGAAGGCACCTGTCTAGGAGCCACAAGGAGAATCCTCACCTGGAATCAATCCTGTGGGATTGGGATTGGGACTCCAGCCTCCAAAACTGTGAGAAAATAAATTTCTGCCTTGACACCCACCAGCCTGTGGTGCGATGTTATGATAGCCCACGCTGACAAATTCAGGCAGGTGATAGAAAGAAAAAGCCAGGATACTTCTCACCTTCATCCTTGACCCTGGCAGCCATGTCTGGCCCATGGTTCCTGATCCTGCGGGTGGAACCATGAAGGCCCTGCTTGTGCCACATGACCAGGGCCCCACCCTAGGATGTTGTCCTGACGCCTATGCCTCTCTGCTTGCTGACCCCTGGGTAGCTGAAGCATCCCTTATTGGCTTCACATTACCTGTGTGGTCAGTTTCCTACCTTTGATCCCTCTCTTTAAGAACTGGCAGTGGTTTGGAATTTCTGGCTGGATGCTGCCTGACACCTCACACCTAAGTGTGAGGGAAGCAGCAGCAAGGAGGCTACATGGGATGCAGCTGCAGGCCACCAACTCTTCCCACCCATTGACCATCAAACCACAGTGTGAATCACATCCAGAGGGCTGGGGAGAGGGGACATTCCTGCAGCACTATTAGCAGGAGGAGGTGCACTTTCAGGGCTCCGTTTTAGAAAGAAGTCACAAAAAACATCTACCTGCAGCACCTGGAGAACTGGAGCATCCATTTCCCACGTGGTTTCTCAAATGCTGTGTAGACACAGCTTCAGACTCTTTTCCCAAAAGGAATGGCAGTGGGAAGGGAGGAGAGACAAGGTGAACAGGTGGGAACTGGCCCTCCCACACCCTCTCTGGATCTGAGTACTTTGGTTCCTAAGCTATGTCTAAATCAGAATTTATAAGGGTCTTGGTGCTTCAGTGGAAAATGTAGTGCTCCCACCTCCACCCATTCCTCCCCTTGCAAACCTGGATTCTGGCCCTTAAAATCTAAGAACAGTAGGGGCTGACAAAATGCAAACCAGAAACACCCCAGTCAGCACTCACATTATAGGATTTATCGGTTCCGTATAAGGGTGTCATATGGGTGCTACAGCGAATGCCAGCTGGTAGCTATAACTCAAAGGGCCAGCCTCTGGGTCTGCACCATCAGTCATGTGGAGCGTGCAGAAGCCTATTCATTCCTTGTCATCTTTCGGCAAAACTTCTCTGTCTCTTTTAGTTGATTTACTTTCCTCCCTTTTCACTCTTCTCTTTCTTTTTCATTCTTCTTTTCAAATATTCTTGGAAACCCTTTGCTGCCAATCACTGTCAGCGGCCATTCAGGGCTGAGCAGAGCAGCAGCAGATGCACAGTGAGACACAGGGACTTGGCAATGAGCCGGGAGGGTGGCTTGTGGGGGAGCACTCCGCTCACGAGAAGGAGCAAATAAAACACTCAATGCTAATGGAGCCTAGGAAGACGTCTAATCTAGTAAGAGTCATCCTTCAGGTGCATGGACGGGCAGAAAACTGAATCGAATGCTTCAGCCCACAGCACTGATCTCTTTCAAGTAATATTAGAAATGCAATTCTCCTCCAAGAGAAAGCTGCTGAGATTTATATTTATTGCTAATGTATTTATGGTTGAAGAAGAAAACACAACAGTCTCCTACAGTGGCCCTGGAACTAAATGCAAACAGACAATGTGGGAGCTAGAGATGGGGTCCCCAGGCCCAGGAGGCCAGGAATCATCTGAAACACTCTCATGATAGGTGTCCTTGATTATCCGGGTCAGAGGGGTTGGCTGGGGTAGTTGGTGAAAGGAAACAGGTTTTAAAGACGCTAAGTGGGTAAGCATTCTTAGTGTTTAAGAAAAGTTATGGATCTCAGGAAAATGTTCATGAGAAAATTCAAAAGGTTCATTTCTCTGACTATTCTGCTTGTTGGTGCACACAAGATCCTTTGCCATCTTCACAGTGACGAGCACAGAGCCACCCACACATGGAGCATTCCACAGGGCGGATGTCTGGGAGGCAGCCTGGCCTTGAGAGCCTCCTGTGGTTAATCTCCAAACATTAATGTGACATACTGAGTCCTTGAGGCTGAGGCAAACTTGAGCCCTCTCAGGACCAGTTTTATAACCTGCTTCGACATTTCATCATTTTTTTAGTACAGTGAAGAGAACTGGGATCTCTCTGCAACTCCCAGAGGCCCTCAGTATCAATGACTTGATGAAGAAAGTGCTATCAAGAAGGTCAGCATTTCCCAAAGTCCTCCAAAGAGCAGATAAATCCTGACTTAGCTGATATTTTATATACAAGATCTCAGTTGGATCTCTTTAGAGTGTATGCACTGGGGGGAAGGAGGAAGTCTTTTTTTTTTTTTTTCCCGAAAAACTATGTAACCATTGAATCCCAAAATAGGAAGGCAGGGGAGTAAGAAGAGACATTACCATTTTTTTTTTAATTTTTTTTAGTTGTAGATGGACACAA